ACCGGCATAGCGAGGACCGAGCTTCTTCCTCGCGCGGGGGTCCAAGGACTGCGTAGAGCGGTGAAGTAGACGCAGCCAGACCCAATCACCCACCGCGTACTCCGCCTCGCGATGGTGGCCATCATAGTAACGTTTGGCCAACTGCTGGGCCTGCAGGAGTCGTTGCTGGATCTCCGCGATCATCTCATCACGACTTCTTAGAAGGGCCCCGGCTACCTCGGTTCGCGCCGAGGCCGGATCAACCGGCAGGATCGGCGGGGGTGGCCGGCCATACACCACCTCAAAGGGCGTAGCTCGCAGGGCGGAGTGATAAGAGGTGTTGTAGCGGTACTCTGCCCACGAGAGCCAGTCCACCCATGCACGAGGGCGATCACCTGTAACACAGCGCAAATACATGGCAATCACCTTGTTAACGATCTCAGACTGGCCGTCCGTCTGAGGGTGGAAGGCTGTGCTGAGGCGTAGCTTCACGCCCGCCAGCCGGAAAAGGTCACGCCACACATGTCCCGTGAACACGGGGTCCCGATCACTGACGATCAAAGAAGGGAACCCGTGGAGGCGGACAATGCCATCGAAGAAGGCCCGGGCAACCGATGCCGCTGAATATGGATGGCCGAGCGGTATGAAATGAGCATACTTGGTGAAGCGGTCGACCACCGTGAGAATGACAGACTTGCCGCCCACCTTGGGAAGGCCCTCGATGAAGTCCATGGAGATGTCCGCCCAAACCTGAGTAGGGACCTCCAAGGGTTGCAGCATGCCAGCCGGCCGTAGAGTCTCCGTCTTGTTGCGCTGGCACGTCACACACGACCGTACCCAGTCACGGACCAAGGCACGATCACCGGGAATGTAGAAGTCGGCGCGGAGACGATGGAGCGTCTTCTGCACTCCCTCATGGCCCGCCGAGTGAGCGAGGCGCAGCACCTGCTGGCGAAGATTGTCGTGCGCCGGAACGAAGACCCGGCGCCCATGGAGAAGCAGGCCATCGGCAAGGCGCCACGGTTCCTCCAGCTCACCCGCCGCCAACTGCTGCTGTAGGAGGAGGGAATCGGCCGCAGCAGCAGTCGCCCGGCGGATGTCGTCGTAGAGGGCGAAGGAGGCCCCGGTGATGATGCAGAAGGCCACCCCCTCCCCCGCACCGTCGTCCACATCGGCATCACGCCGAGACAGGGCGTCGGCGACGGTGTTAAGGCGACCCGGACGGTGCTCGACGGTGAAGTCAAAGCCAAAGAGTTTACTGATCCATTGGTGCTGGGGCACCGTCGAGAGCCTCTGATCTAGCATGAACTTGAGGCTATAATGATCCGTGCGGATCCGGAAAGAGCGACCCCAAAGATAGGGCCGCCAATGGCGTACGGCCTGCACCAACCCAATGAGCTCATGCTCATACGCCGCCAACTTAAGATGATGTGCGGCAAATGGGCGACTGAAGAAAGCGAGGGGTCCCTCGCCCTGGTGTAGGACCGCACCGAACCCCGCACCGGAAGCGTCGCAGTCGACGGTGAAGGGGAGGTCAAAATCCGGCATCTGCAGTACGGGTCCCGTCGTGAGGGCCCCCTTGAGGGCCTCGAAGGCTGAAGTGGCCTCCTCGTCCCAAGAGAAGGCGTCGCGCCGGAGGAGACGCGTGAGTGGGGCCGCGATGAGGCCAAACTCCCGGATGAACTTTCGGTAGTACCCCGCGAGGCCAAGAAACCCGCGAAGAGCACGCGGAGACTGCGGAATCGGCCAGGCCGCGACGGCCGCGACCTTGTCGGCATCCATGGCCACTCCCTTGGCCGAGATGACGTGGCCGAGGTAAGCGACCGACGGCGTCCCGAACGAGCACTTCGAGCGCTTATGATGAAGATGATGCGCCCGAAGCTCGTTGAAGACGATGGCCACATGCTGGAGGTGCTCTGCCCAAGAGGTGCTGTAGATAAGAATGTCATCAAAGAAAACGAGCACAAACCGGCGTAAGTAGGGCCGAAGGACATCGTTCATCAAGGCCTGAAACGTCGCTGGGGCGTTGGAGAGGCCAAAGGGCATCACCAAGAACTCGAAGTGGCTGTGATGAGTCCGAAACGCCGTCTTGGCGATGTCGTCTGGATGCATGCGTACCTGATGATACCCTGATCGAAGGTCCAGCTTGGTGAAGAAGTGTGCCCCGTACAGCTCGTCGAGAAGCTCATCGACAACCGGAATAGGAAACTTGTCCTTCAATGTGAGAGCATTAAGGGCACGGTAGTCAATGCAGAAACGCCATGTGCCATCCGACTTACGCACGAGGAGGACCGGTGCTGTAAACGGGGACGTGGAGATGCGGATGATGCCGGCGGCAAGCATGAGTGCACACTGTCGCTCCAACTCGTCCTTCTGCAGCTGTGGATACCGGTAAGGCCGCACGGCCACAGGGGCCGATCCCGGAAGGAGGTGAATACGGTGGTCGTAGATCCGGGCCGGTGGCAGACCCTGCGGCTCCTCAAAGAGATCCCGGTGCTGCTGCAGGAGCCCGTCCAAGAGCGGATGCTCGGCCTCCGTGGTCGCCGTGGCCAGCTGAAGAGGGGGCGCGGGTGCGGCCCCCCGAATGCCCTCCCACCGAATGCGACGACCCAAACGCTAGAAGGTCATCGTTAGCGCGTCAAAATCCCAAAGGATAGGACCCAACGTGCGCAAGAAGTCGACGCCGAGGATAAGTCGAAGCAGCCCAAATCGATGCCGGCGCATGTGATGGTGAAGTGCTCGTCGCCGATAGTGATGGGCACGTCGCGGGCAAGCCCATGGCAGCGTAGACGGTCGCCATTCGCGACCGTGACCCATAACTGCTCTCCTCCGATCGGCTGGAGCGCA